AACAATTATTAATTTAATTAAATTATACAAAAATGTGCAAGAAAATTTTATGCGTTTGTATATAGTAATTTTAATTGATTAAATTAATAAATCAATTTTAATAATTATTTTCTAAAAGCCTCATTCAAAACAAGTTATAAAAATAAAACTAATGTAAAATGTTTTATTATTATGTTTTTATGAAAAATTACCATGAAATGTTTCCTTATGATGAATTTATTTTTAACTAATTTAATTAAATATTAATTTAAACACTAATTCAAATACTGATACCAAAGATGTTCGCATTCAACGGACTTAACATTTAGACCAAAATTAGTGTCAACTTTGGGCTCAACACTAAACTCATAATACGGAGCGATAACTGTATTTCCGGCGATCGTGTAATACTGGGGCCAATCGGCGCCCGACAGTCTGGCCGGGCGTCCCGTCCACGCAAACCGTGTAAATGTCTCAATCATTTGGGCCGATATGTGGCGCTCGGGTCGGCCATACCTGTCGTACTCTTGAAACGGCAGACCAAACACGATGTAAATGTCATCGAAATGACAGACACCCATCCAATCGGCGCAAAACAACTGATCCCCGGCAGCAAACTTAGCGCTATAGTAGTACTCATATACCCGACTGTTGGGCTGACCGGAGTGTATATATCGGGCAAACAGTTTGTTAGGACACCCGAGACGGAAATCGCCGTACATTTGGCCCATTCTTTGCATAAATACTTCGGATTTGGTCGCATTGGACAGACCGTTGAGGTATATGTCAGCCACTTGTTGGCCATCTATACGAATATCACCGACAGGTGGCCGATGCGACACATGTGTCAGATATGATTGAAGGCTGTCCGCCAGTCGGATGGCGTACTCGCGAGCCTCGGCGTAAGTCATATGCTTTGGGTGCCGTTTGTTAAACTGAACTGGATCAATCATAATAGGGAATAAAAATGAGCCCTCGTTCACCACCGTTCCGATCAACAGATCCATGTCTTTCTTATGGTCACCTGATTTAAGCATTTCAATTGGATTGTGAGGCAGAAAGTGGCCGTCGATCATAAAGTCGAGTTCGCATGGGCTATAAGTAAGGTCCTTGGCTTTCAACAGGTCATCGGCCGACAGACCGCGCATACATTTAATCATTTCGGGCGTAAACTCGTACGAAGTTTTGCCAGTTTTGTCGCCGACATCGCAGCCAATAGCGACCGCCCTTTCATACCAGAGCCGCTCCGATGCGTTGGCGTTGCAGACAGCGTTAGTGAACGCGCCCGACATCACGATCGCCCTCTGGAACAGGTGTCGAGTGATTGGTGACACGACGTGAAGGCTGGTTGATATGGCACCGGCCGACTCGCCAAACACTGTTATACGAGTCGGATCGCCACCAAAGTTGGCTATATTGTCGACCACCCACTCCAGTGCCAGCGCCTGATCCCATAGCGCCATATTGCCGGGCGCGCCGCTCGAGTGTTTCGCACCCGTGTATAACAGCCCGAAAGTGCTAAGTCTGTAGTTGAATGTGACCACCACTACATCGCCCATAGCGGCGATCACGTGACCGGAATACCACTTTTCCACCGCCGACCCCCACATCAAACCCCCGCCGTGTATCCAAAACATGACGGGCTTCAGGGCTGTGGTCTCAGTAGAGTTGGGCAACGCTGGCGACCATATGTTTAAATACAGACAATCCTCGTTCATATCAACGTTAAAATAGTTTTGGTGTATTTTTTGATGAACACAGGCTTTGGGCCATTGGGTGGCGTCCAGTGGTTGAGTCCACGATCTGTTCACAGGCACAGGCTTTTTGAGCCTTAGAGCGCCCACCGGAGGCTTAGCGTATGGGATGCCTAAAAACACGTTCAATTTGGTGCCGTTAAATGTGTCCACCTTTCCGGTGATGAGACCGTTGGTCACTCTAACACTAACAGTGCAGACACTCTGTATTTGTGGTGAAAATGTTGCTAATATTAACGCTATTAACAAATGATTTAAAATTTGTGTCAACATTTTATAAATAATGAACGATTTATAAATTACTAGAAATAATGTTAATTTTTATTTAAACTTCTATGTAGTGAATTACTGAAATTACATTTATGAGGTACCTTTGTATTAACGTATTTATTCTCTATAGAAGTAATTTTTATGACCTTGTTAAAATCTCATTATTTAGTAAAATGATGCGTATAGTGAATTAATTGTTATTTCACTAATAAAAAAAATATAACAATGCAAATTGTACATCAAATCCATTATATAAAATTAATGATTTATTAAATACATTATTTCATACATCATTAATATTTATCTTAATAGTAGAAGTGTTATTGACAATTAACTTAGAGTTATTAGTTGTTAACTAAATAAGCTACCATAATCAAATTACTTAGAAACATAATTTAACCTAATACAATATTAGTTATTAGAGAAACACACTTTAACCTTTATTTAATAGCTAGATATTATTACAATGATCTTAAATATATTAAAACTAATAAAAAGTTTTAAATTTGCCGCAAGAAAAAACGCCACTTATAAAATAAATGCACGTAATTAGTGAACGTCTCTCAGACTTGACAACAGTTGTAATGAAATGCTTGAAAACAAATTCAAAACAGTTTTTTGTAATCAAAACAAATGACAACAAAATTGTTTAGCAATTAATGTATTAATGAATTGATTAAACAATTGATATCTGAATTGACACACATTTAGTGCACAACACGTGTCTGTTATTTAACACGTGGTGTGTCTTAACACACGTGCGGACACAACACACACACAATCACTTGTGGGGAAACTTGTGGTGAGTTTTGCATTGTTTTGATTGAATTCTGCATTCAATCACTTGATGTCTATTACAGGCCATCACTGACCACACCATCCATTTGTGTCCAGTTGTGTCCACCCGTTATAATCAACTCCACTAAACGGGTATCTAATGGTCCGCTCAGATGAGTCGCTATGGAAGCACTGGAAGCCAGTCGGCCGTCGGGGCAACAATTCAATGGAGTGTCTGTATTGTGGGCACAAACTGCAGAAACACGCGCCAAAGTGTCGCCGACACACCGACCAATGCCCTGAGCGCCGGCAGCCGGACGTAAAACCCGTGGCCACTGATGGCGAAGACATATCTGCGCGCGAGAGCCAACTCCCGGTCAAAACATTTAGTGGTAAACGTTTGGGTAAACTTCCGGACGACATTTGGCACCACTGGAGGCACGTGTCGGGAAGCGGTGACAAAGCGGTGATGGGGTGTATGTACTGCGGGCACAAACTGCAGAAACACGCGCCAAAGTGTCGCCAACATGTCATCAAATGCGAGAAGTGTCCACAAGATATCCGCCAATCGGTGTTGGATAGCGTAGCCGACAAACCGGAAGGACAGACTCCTTCGCAGACCACTGGCCTTTGGCGCCATTGGGAACACACGGAGCGAAGTGGCGACCAGTGGACGATTGCCTGTCGTTATTGCGGGAACCGTCACGAGAAGCACTCGGGAAAGTGTCGCAGACATACACTCTTATGCGTGAAGACGCCTAAAGAGGTGTTACAAGAGCTGACACGTGAGACGACCAGCGCTGCGAAGCCGGTGCCACCCGTCGACATATGGCAGCACTGGAAGCCAGTGACGGCCGGTTGTAGCAAGAATTCGGGGGTCGAGTGCCGGTTCTGCGGGAACCGACAGCTGAGGAATAGCGCTAAGTGTCGGCGACACACATATATTTGTGGTGAATGTCCCGAAGA